AAATAGGTGGTACCAACACCCCAACAAATCCCCCAACAATGTGGTTGGTGGGGGATAATGGGGGGATGTAAAGGTCCACACATCTTAATGTTGCCAAGTTTGAAAAACACTGGACTAGAACAACTATGGGGAATTGTGATTCGCCGGATGTTGCTAGACTACAGCTCCCACCATCTGCAGGAAGTATGGACGATGGCGTGCGTACTGAAATTGCAGCAAAGCAACATTTGGGAACCCTCAAGTTTCTGAACCCGAGATTATAAAAAACAAAAGGCGGGCTTCCTTTTCTCCTCCAAGGCAAGCTTTACAGTACTTCTCGCGTGCCAAGAAAAACTGCCTCAAAAGAGACCAGTTAAAGAAGCGGCGGCCTATAGAAATCTAGCAAGTCAATAAACAATCTCTCGAGTAAAGAAGAGGACACATTCAGAAGTGACCTTTTCGCGCGTTACGCTTACCTGCCCTCCGACACTGAGCCAACAGACTATCATTTCAGCGGCACCGCCAACTCGCTTTTCGAATGTGCCGCGATGCTTGCTATTGGTTGAGATGGTGGATGACGTCACACGCAGCCCCGAAAGCGGGGAAGACCAGAAGTAATCAAAGAATCTCTACGAGGGCGCTATAGCTACACCTCCGGTTCTGAAGCGAACACTTTCAGACACGGACAACTGTGGTTAAGTAGGGCGGCTAAAGGAACCGGGCTGAGCCTGATGCTTGAGGGATGTTTGCTCTCTTCCCCATTTCAGTGGGAAGAGTCCTAAAGCAAAAGAGCTGGTGAAATGTCAGAGGAGCTGCTTCAAGGTTGCGTTTCCTCTCTAACTTCTTGCGGTAAAACTAAATTAAATTGCCGCTTGTGCCCGAAATCTCTGGAATGAAATTCACAGATTTCAGTTGTGCATAAAGTGAAGCTGCAACCGCGAAACGGACACTCCAGACTTTGGCTGATGTGGCTCTTCCGGGCTGTGTGGCCGTGTTCTGGAAGTTTTGGTTCCTAACGTTTCGCCAGCACCTCTGACCGGCATCTTCAACGTTAGGAACCAAAACTTCCAGGACACGGCCACGCAGCCCGGAAGACCCATGATGTGGGCCATCGTATTTCGGCCATGAAAGCCTTCGACACTCCAGACTTTACTTCAGATGTTTGGACGTGTAGAATAATTAGCATATGGTCGGAGGGAAACGTATTCAGTCCTTTAAGTGTCCATAGGAATAGTTGTGTGTGCCTGTGTATTAATGAAATTAATAGCAAGTAATTAATGGAATTCATAACAAATAATTAATGCAATTATTTTAGGTATGTAAGAGTCCCTTGGGAGAAAAATAAAATGTATTCCTAGAATATTTAGAGTTCCTAAAATCGGGGGGGGGGTTCTTTAAATTTCATTTCCTGGTATTTTTAAATTGTTTAAGTCAATAATTCCAGCTATAATTCACTTCAACTGACTACAGAAACTTCTTTCAGATTTTAGTGCCAAGTCCATAATCGTATCAGTTATATACTTCACAGAAGACACAAGAATGGCCCTATGGCTGTATATTGTAGGCTAATAATTAGATAGCAGGGATGGTGTCACCATTCAGATACTCCCATCTAATGCCCAATTTTCAACAATTAAGCCTTTCTGTTCTTTTTTCTGTCAGATTTTGGAAAATTTGCTATAATCTGACAAGCCTCCAAACTACAGGCAAGTTTTTTTTTAATGAATAAATCCCAAGGGTTGCATATCCCCAGCATCAAAATGGGGAAATGGCCAAAAACCACTCCTATTTGCAGAGTTTTACATGTTTTATTTATTTAACTAATGTATATGGCCACCCAACTTAAAGACTGGATAGGAGATCAGGAACTCACAACTATTACCCTCCTCAAGATGGGGACTGTCATTATCTCAGCCCCAGCATCCAAGGCCATCCTATTCGGTTACCATTTTGATAGTTACAACCCAACGAAGTAGAACCAGATAGATTATTTTACCTGTCTTCTGGTCCTACAGCATTTGTCTAATTTTTTTCTATACATCAGTAGACTGAAGACCTAATCTAATGTTTCCATGCTGAGCCAGCTGCATTACCACAAACAGGACTTGCTGGTTATGTACCTTGCCCTTAGATTACACACTGAAACACTTATGTGTACTCTGTTTGGCAATTCATGACCAGCTATTGCTCTATGCAGTAGAGATGATAGAAGACTGAAAGAACATAATTTTCCCTTATTGTAATCAGAAGTCTTCCAAGAGCCTATAATGACCGTCCACCCATCTTAAAGTTGCCAGGATTGAGAAACACCACTATAGACCTTTTGAGTATCCCATCCTGAGACCACTAATAAAGTTCAGTTCACAGTTGTTGCTTCACTAAAACCACAGGTTTAAATGGCAATGCATATATATAGCACCAGAAGTCCACAAAGCCATTTGGATTATTTAGGAATAATTTTCTAGATATTGGGCATAATATCTACTTTCACTAGGTACTTCAATTTCTACATTTATCTAAGACAAATTGATTTATATCTCTCCAAGCACCAGGGAAGCATAATTTGGGGAACTTTATGCAGACACCTGTGTTGAAAGTGAAAGCCCTAGCCAAGTTATAGAAGACCTGCCATTGTGGTTACCAGTGACAATGTCAGAGATCAAGAGCCTTGTTGCCCAATAAAGACTGGGGAAGACCCCAGGGGAAGATCTAATCCCTCTGTAGGCCATTAAAAACAATCAGGACTTCTGGGCCCCTATTCTGCCCTCACTCTTCCTGCATAGATACGTTTGGCCAAGCCCCCAAGGACTGGGGACCTGCAATCATCGTCCCTATATATAAAAAAGGATGATCCTGCTAACTACTGCATAAACCTTTTAGCCTCCTTAACATCATTAGCAAATTCCATGTCAGATATCTACAATAGATATTCCAGGATTGGCTGGAACAAAACTTGCTTGCAGGGTAGCAGGTGGGCTTTAGGAAAGACCGATCCACCTCTGATCAGTGTCTTACATTCCAGCAATTCATTGGAAAATATTCCTCTTACAACTTCTCTTTTGCCACTTTCACAGATTTCACACCAGCGTTTGACTCCATATCCTAAATTAAATTGTGGGAGAAATTGGACACCTCCTCAACTGACCAGCATCTATGCATTTAATGCATATGCTGCATGAAGAAATGTCACTCAAAGTAAAATGTAACCCCCAGGGCCATCTCAGCATGCTACTGAAGCTCAGAAGGGCATCAAGCAAGGCTGCATATTGGCCCCATTCCTATTCAACTTTTATATTAATTCCATGGTGGGTCATCTCTATAACATGGTCTTTCATTACCCCAAACTTGCAGAAAGACACATTTTTATTCTATCTGTGCAAATGATGCAACAATACTTTCAAGAATGCCAGCTGGCCTTTAAAAAGCACTGTACTAGCACAGTATTGCATGTAAGATTGGCTAGAACTCAATTATTGGAAAATTAAAATTGTGGTATTTGCCAAGAGGCCCAAGAACCACTCCTGGAGTATAGATGGCCACAAGATTGAATAGGTTTCCTGTTTTTAAATATTTGGGGGCAGTCCATTCTGTTGGCAGTAGGAAATCCCATGGGGACAGTGTTGCTGAAAATGCAGAGGAGTTAATCTGTCATCCTCAAATATCTTAAAACAAGAGGTGGCTATTATAAACCTGCAGCTTTCAAATTATTTGAGGCCAAGTTGTTAGCACAGCTTCTCTATGGTGCCTAGCTATGTCTCTTCCCCAATTCTGCACCTCAAGAGCTTGTACAATCCAAATATCTAAGAGGAGCCTTTCAAGTCTGTAAATGTGTCTCTAAGGCCATTTTTCAAATAGAGATGGGCTTCATGAAAGTGGAGCCTTAAACGTGGCTAGCCATATTCAACTATTGGCTCAGACTGTTTCTTCCCCCCATATATATGTTTTTGTTTATTTATATATACATACATACATACATACATACATACACATATAAAACATTTTTTGCAACTCTGTTTAGATTCTCACTTTTTACTCTATATAACTTTTTATCTTTATGTGTCTTCCTATGATTGAATGCTGGGCTAAGACTGTAATAAAGATTGAGAGGACAAATTAAAAAGTCATGGTCTAAATTAGCACATACTTATTTTAGATGTAACGTTTCAAATTTGTCTGTTTCCTTTTTTCACATTAAGAGCTCTCGTTTTATAAAAGTAAGACAGTATGAATTTATTAAACAAAATCTACAATAAAGGGTAAGATCAGGGTAGAATTTAAAACTATTTACTCCCTATCAGAATAATTGTATTAAAAAGTAAAGAAAAATGGGAAGTCATTTTCTTTCTACAAATAAAAAAAAATGACAATTAAAAACTCATACAGCTTTATAACATGGTTTTATAGACAGTTTCAGCTGACAATAGGTAGGTAGGTAGGTAGATAGGTACCTCTTGGAAAGTCTATAATGCTTGGAAAGTGAAAGGAAAGAGAAGAAAAGGATAACTAGCAACAAAGTGGACTCAATTATAGCAGCACTGGAAGACCTGAGGGCCAGGTTGGGACTAGATCATCCTGGAGGTGGTCTATCTGTGTGGTTGCTAAGAGTTGACACCAATTTGATTGCACAATTCAATCAGTGTATCTCAGGTTCAAGATTTGTATTCCTCTCTCCCTTTTGAAATCCATTCCACCTCCACTGCAATCATCAATATTCATTTTAAGCTGCTTTATACTGAGGTAGACTGTAGGGACAGACTCATTCAGCTTTCCCCAATCCAGCTCCCCTCCATAGGGCCGTGCAGGTAGGCAGCATATAAATATTTCTAATAAATAAAAGATGTGTGGATATAATTCCCAGAACTCCTAGCCAACGTGGACATTGCTGAAAATTTGAGGAGAATATCCACCTATCTTGAAAGCACCCAGACTGGGAAAGTCTGATCTAGCTCAATACTCACTACTGGCTGGATGTCGCCTTGCAAGGATTTGGGAGGTAGGAATCTCTTCTTGATCTGCCTCCATCAATTAGTGATGCCCAAGGCTGAAGCTAGGACCGCTTGTGTGTTAAACATGTATTCTGCTGCAGTTCTTCTGTACAGATGTATTACTGCCAATAATCTTTGCATTTTTTATTTCAAAACCAGAAAATCAAAAGGTAGAGTTACTCATTCCAGAGATTTTTGACTACTAGTCTGTATTTGTAGCCATTCCAGACTCAGACAGAGAAAAAGGAATAGCTGGCTGAGAATCACATAATCTTTTCGTCCTTTTTTTCAATTTTGTCTCAAGGCCCTTCCTGTCCAAACAAAGAATCTGAAATGCGTGAGCTGAATCTATTCGCTCGATTAACTGTCAGTCTGAACCAGGACTGGAAATAATTATGTGTAAGAAAAAAGATTAATCCCCCATCTATAATCTGCCTCCCCTTAATCCCTGCTAACAGATACAACAGAACAAATAATACCTTTCAGAAATACTTGACCAGTTGCCTGTCTCAACATTCTTTGAATTTGAACTTAAATTTACGTTTTAATATAAGTTCATGTCTAGCAGAGCCTTATCGTTTTTAATCCATACTTCAGTCACTCCTCGATGCTTTTTATACTCTTTTGCTTTTCCACGCTCTAAAACTAGCCACTTCAAGAAACAAGTTCAGAACCAACTGCTTATTTTGCACACTCAAAGCATCTCAGTTCATCAGGCACGTTCTAAATTAGATCATGTCTGTTCAAAGACCACCTCTACCCCTCAGATTTAGGAGGATGTGAGATTTTGGTTGCCAAAACTAAAACATTAATCGCTACTGAATAATTGTATCTGTGGAATATTGTAATATTTGGTAACAGTGAATGAGATTTCCTGATCCTTGCTTCTCTACGTATATTGCAATAAACCCAGCCACTGAAAATAAATATGTATTTTGCCATTTAACCTGAGGCCTAAGCCCTTAATGAAATATAAAATGACCCAAAGTCATTACAGTATCTCAACCCAACAAAACTGTTCTCTTGCTAAAATGGCACTCTGATATCTTATAGGAATGGAGACATATAAACTATCAGATGTAAAACGCAATCTAACCAAAATTAAGCATCAGTTTAAATGAAAAAAAATTAACACCTTGCTTAGCTCTCTCATTTGAATTAATGGGGCTACAAAATGCTTGTTTTTATTGAAGCACATCCATATAAATTGATTAAAATTTCACATATAAAACAAGTTAACATAAAATGGTTATATATAGCTTGTTACTTTTGAGAAGAACTTTTATCATGTTTTCTAATAATGTCCATAAGATTATCCCCAGTTACAAAATCATTCTGAGATTCTTTGCTCTTCTGCTGTTCTTTCCTCTTTTGGTCATGTAAATACGGAGAATTTAATAACTGAGGTGGGAGAATAGTGCCAGTTGGTTTAACTCGCTTTACCACATCCCAAAAAAGTTTCTTGCTGTTATTATTAATAAATGTAATTGCAGTTCCACTGTGACCCAGCCGACCTGCTCTTCCAACCTAAAAAGGGAAAAAGCAATGGTAATTAAAATGAATAAACTATCAATGACAAGGATCCAAATGTTGTAGGCATATATAATACATACCTAATTATGAATAATTAAAAGTTTCAGTTGTGCACAAGGAAAAAAATCACAGTTCTTTGCCTCAAATAATTAATTTACTGTCTTTAAGCTGAGCCACAATGAAGAGTTAGCTAGGAAGAGTATTAATTTACCATAAGTTAATATTACTAACTGCATTTTTCTATTATTTTCTATGTTGCTGTCAGAGTTTAATAAGCTGAAAAGCAACTATAAATATGTTAAATCAAGATATAACTGAAGAGCTGTGATTGGTTTGGGTTCCAAATAAAACCAAGGCTCTTCCAGGAATAACAATATTTCATTCTACTCTTCTTTTGATTGTTGTTATATTTTCAAGTTTCATAATCAGCTAAGGTTATTTCAACTTTTTTTTTTTGCCAGGATACATAGAGAAATTGACACATCCCAAAATAATGTTGCTCCCTGCATTTTAACTAGCTTTAATAAGGAAGTTATTTACCTGTTTCTTCAAAATGTGCTTGGGAAACTACAATTCATTGTTTGTTCTTACACCATGATTCAGAACATATCTCTTTAGGCACTCTTTAAAATGTGGAAACATACTCAAGTGAGTTTCTAATTTTAAAAGTTCTTCCTCCCCACTCCATTTTGCATCATCAAACACTTTGTAGGACTTTTGAGCAGTGAGGCTTGCTTTTGTTGAAAGCTTCAGTATTACATTGTGCCTTTTAAATCAGAAAGTACATTTACCTGGTGTACATATTCATCCATGCTAGATGGCATGTCAAAATTCACAACCAGCTTAATATTGACAAGGTCAAGTCCACGCCCAAGGACTCCAGTGCTTACTACAACTTCATATTTCCCTTGCAATAATCCCTAGCACAGGACAAATATTTACAAAATTACAATGGCATCAGCAAAAATTCTGAATACATTTCAAAGAGAACAAAAACAATAGCTGAGCAATAAGGAAAAAGAAGCACCTATGTGTTTTAATAAAACTGAAAGCATTTTCCCCATGAGACACTTCCACTGAATTCAAATTCCCAAATCCGATTCCATAGCTACTCTCTGGCCAACACAAATTCATCTTCAGATATATTTCATGACATAAAAAATGACTTGCACCCAGAAGGGGTAAATCTCAAACAATCAAACAATCTCTACCTAGCAGCTGTGCACTGTGTCTAGAGCAGCAGTTCTCAAATATTTTAGTCTTAGGACCCCTTTACATTCTTAAAAATAATTGAGGACTCTAAAGAGCTTTGGTTTATGTGTGTTATTTCTATTGATATTTACTGTATTAAAAATTAAAACTGAGAAATTTTAAATTATTTATTTGACTTGGCGGACCCTGAAAGGGTCTTGGGCACCCCCAGGGGTCCCCAGAACCGCTGGCCTATAGTTCCTTAGTCATAGATTTAGCCAGTTTCTAGACAGGCCCCAGATGTTTACAAACCTGTAATATTGCAGTTCTTTCTGATTGTGATTTCTCAGCGTGCATTGATGTTGACTGTAAACCTGTGATTTTATGAACAGCATTACTCAGAAGATCGGCACCCAATTTACATTCCACAAATACCAGTACTGGAGGCTTAAAGAGTTTCTTATCCTAAAAAAGAAGGGGGAGGATGGAGAGACCACACTGAGTATAAGGTAAGGACTGGAAGATTAAGTTTATACCAAAACAAAGGGGATGGAGTAGTGTGACATTTAGCAGTAGTAAATAAAGTAAAAGAACTATCCAACTATTTTGCAATATTAGCAAGTCTGAAGTAGTATTGTTTCAAATATTTTTCAAATAGTAAACAGAATGCAAATATCAGTCATCGTTTTCTATTACTATAGTTTTTTAAAAAGTGGTTTTAATAGCATGAGGATTTAAGTAATCTGACCAAATCAAAAGAGCTGTTTAAATTCTCACAGCCCAAAGGATACGTGTTTTCGTTTTTTATCAAGGAAACATGCTACAGTAGAAACTATTTTAACACTCTCGTGAGAACAATGTAGCATGGTATGGTTTCTATTCAAACATACCTAAAACTTCTTGAAGGCTCACCATAGATCTTTGAATGCTAGCAGTTATTTAATTTAAATAGCTTCTACCATCACAGCTTGAGACATATTTATATGCAGTAATATGCAACCCAGTGTAACCAATAAGACTGAAACTATCAACATTTCAGCACAGAAATTGCCCAAGATGACCCCCAGGAATAGAGTTATGTTTGAATGGATATGTTCCTAGGAGAAGAACTGATTATAGCAATAGTTCTAGCTCATTTTCTCCAAATATCTATGGTTGATGAAAAGAAACAAAGAGTTGTCTTCCCATGAAGATACTAACATTTAATATTTCAAAAAGCTTTTTCTTTTTGGAAGGCTCTTCTATCCACAAAATAATCTGGCGAACACTGGAACATGGCAGATTCTTTTCTCCAACTGTTATTTTCACTGGATTTTGCAAAAGCCGGTTTGCCAGCTGTTCGATGCTCAAAGGCATGGTGGCTGACACCAAAATGGTTTGATGATCATTGGGAATATTTTCCAAAATTTCTAACACCTGCTGCTGGAAGCCCATCTTTAGCATGGTATCAACCTATTTTAAAAAAAGAAATGGATTAACTAGTGTTTATTTTCTTCTTTTTGAAGATGAGTGAAAACATTATTTTACATTCATTATCAACATCTATCTGGACTTTCAGATCAGCGCTTCCCAAATTTGACTACTTCCAGTTGTGTAAGGTTCGACTTCCAGAATCCTTAGCAATAACCATGCCAGCTGATGACTTCTGGGAGTTGAAGTCCACATATAGAGAAGGTGCACAGTTTTAGATAGTGGTTGGGGGGAAAAAAAGAATTACAGTAACTGGCTGCTTTGAAGAACAAAGACAACATGACTAAGAAGCACATATTACCAGTATCTCAAATTATGTCTCTGCTCTCCCCACTGTTTCTGTCCACAATAATTATGTTGAACAGCCCAAAGTGATAGGAAGTTTAGAATTTGGAAAAAATTATGACTATTGAAGTAGGTGAAAGTAAACACTTTTACATACTCAGCTGCCTCTTTGCCAAGTACAAGAAAGCCTTCAGATGTAATTTAGAACTGCTGTAAAATATCTTTAAAAACTGTCAGATGAAAAGATGTTGAGATATTACTGGATTAAATTTCAAGCCAAGTTAATCCAAACATGCTAAAAATCTAATAATGTACAAACTACAGTATTAAAACTGTATAATATTTTATCTACTGTGGCCTACAGTGCTTAGTTACCAAACAGAAGCAGAGTCATTCAACCTCTCCAAAAGAAAAGTCATTACACTAATGACTATCTACAAACTTGTTTTGAATAATAATATACACTTACCTCATCAATGACAACAATTTTAATATTGTGAAGTTGAATAGAGCATTGCTTTAGAATTTCTTGGAGCCTTCCAGGTGTTGCTATGATCACCTAAAATAAAGTCAGGAAATACAAATAATAGAAAATAAATGGATTCATTGCTATTACAGATTCCAACAAATTTATTAAATCAAATGTCCCAGGTGGGAAAGTGTTTAAACTTGGTAAACAGGATTTTTCACAGCATCAGTCAGATAAAATCACTTGGATTTACTTGGAGATGGACTCTGGGTGTGCTGGTCCTGTGGAGATGATTGAGACACAGTCTGATGTGGTTATCTAGGAAAAGTTTGATCCTATTAGCCTGGAGAAAAAGGATAGAGTCCTTTGACCTTTGTGTCTACCTGCATTTTAGATCCATGCCCCTCTTAGTTGGTTAAAGCCTCCCAAGAGGTGGTATGTGGCTGGATCCAAGCAGTGGTGAATTCTTCTTTGAGAGAAGGAGTGGTCGTGCCTGCATTTTAAAAGGTTTAAGGATGGTTAAAGAAACCATTTATGGACCAAACTGTGCTGGATAACTTCTGGCCTGTCTCCAGTCTTCCATTTTAAGGGAAAGCTGTTAAGAAGGGTTTCACACTGCAGTTCAAATAGCCTTGGATGAAGTGGATTATCTCGATCCCTTCCAGTTGGGTTTGAGGCCTAGCACAGTATGGATATGGCATTGAACACATTTCTTAATGGCCTATGGTAAAGCTGGATTGAAATGGTACATCCATCCTGGCTCTCCTTGATCCCTCAGCAGCTTTCAGTACTGTTGATCAGGGTATCTTTATGGACTGGCTCAGGAAGTTGAGAGTGGGGAAGAGATATGATGCAAGACTCTTGCTTTGTGGGGGTAACTGGTGCCGTTTCCAGAGTAGAGGTGTTATACGGATATACCAATGCACACCCAGAGCTACTTGTGCTGCTGCCTTCTGGACCAGCTGAAGCTTCTGAGTGATCACCAAGGGCAGCCCCATGTAGAACACACTGCAGTAATCCAATCACTAGATTAAGGTATGAGTGACTTTGAGCAAGACTTCCCAATCCAAGAATGGGTGCAGTTGGCATAAGATGGAGCTTTGCAGAGGCCCTCCAAGCCACAACTGTCACCTGCTCTTTGAGCAAGAATTGTGAGTCCTAGAAGGAATTGCATTACCGTCAGCAATGTTGGAGGGTAAATACCGCAAAATCATATAGCTGAAAGGCTCTGACTTTGTAAAGATGGAAACAATAAATCATGGATCACCTGCTTTACTGTAGTTTTTACTGAGACACTTTTGGCAGATAAAGACCCCAAGATAACTCTTGCTGCTGCAAAGTTTGTATTTGTAGAATTCACATGTGGTTGATTACCAAGTGAATTACTAAGCATGATTACAGGCCTTTTTATTATGCATACCACATTGTACTTTGTATCACAATACTATATTTTGTTTTATGAAGTCTGGGTCTGTCACTCATAAGTTTTAATTGATTGACTGAATGAATGAGAAGAAAGAAGTTTATCTCCGAGCTTTCTTTTCTTTTGGTCCAGTTTTGAAAATAATTATCTGCTATTCTGGAACTTGCCAACAGAGTGGAGGCAACATTTCAATCAAGTTCTCCGACTTCCATGCCATTCTGAATATAAACTGCATCAAATGCTCTTTCAGATGCTTAAGAAGAAAACATAACATGTTTTACCTTAACATTTTGCTTCAGGCGATGAAGCTGTGGTGGTAAAGGCAATCCTCCAACCAGAAGAACAGTTCTCATATTTGGTAGACCAATCATGAGCTCTTTAGCTTGCTTCTCTATCTGTATAGCTAATTCTCTTGTTGGTGTCAGAATAAGAGCGGACAGAGTGTTTGTCTTAAAAAGCACAAAAAGAAATTGTAAGTTATTATTACTCTCAATTAAAAATTTCAGATAAATAAAATGTGAGAGGGGTTAATTTATATCAAACCAGCCCAAAAGCATCACCTTCATCCATGAGTCACCTGGTGATGTCAGTGAATAGTCTCCATGTATCGTAAGATACTGGGGAGGTATTTACCTACATTCTACCTTAAGTGCAGAAGTGAGAGCAAGCGGGTGATCTGTTATAGATAACTTCTGTACATGTTTGCAGTGTGACCAGTGGTGTCTACAACAAGCCTCAATGACATCAAAATGACTTGTGTTGTGACATCATCACACAAACGATTAATGTATATAATGTCTGACATAAGTAAATAAGCAGCATCATTTGTATAATAATGTGATGATGCACATATCATTATTCCACCCTCTCCCTGGACATTTGTACATGTAATGTGCTGCAGTATTTGATGGCTGCAAAATGACATGATGTTGGTATGCATGTATCAAAGAGCCATCACAGATCTAACACCATAGCTGGATCTTCTGTATCACCCTACATCAAATCAAGTTCAATAATTCCTATGGAACCTTTACACACATTCAGCTTTAAGTCAAAGTGTCCAGCAGTCAGTTGCAGCATAATAAAGGCACATGCAAACTAATTTGTAGGATATATAGACCCATTACATTTCTCCATGGTATTTATTATTTATCAACTGTAATTTGTGTAGTAAATCTACTCTGAATGCTTTTTAGTAGCAAAGCAGGATTTCAAAATAAATGAATAAAATGCATTTCTCAGAAGACTGATGTAGGGTAATCTTCCTGGTAGAAAACAGTTGTGTAAAGGCAGTCCAATCCTTGAAACATTCTGCAAACTGGGTCTATTAGTATACTGCATATGCATAACAAAGATGGAATCCTCTGTGAAGTTTGCAGTATTTTGATAATTTTAATTTATTTCATAAACCATCAGCAATTCTTATAAATTTTAACTGTCCCAAAAAATGACCTTTCATTCATCCCAAAAACAGCTCAGTATTTAATTTTAAGTTCATAACACCTTTTTAAATGTATTTGTCTTGCATCTTTGAAAGGAAAGTCCTCTTAGATTGTTCCTATCAGTATTTTTATTTTAAATTCTAGTTTAAATAATTAACGAGGCAAAGCAAAATCCTTTGGCCTTGCTGTTCTTTTTGTCAGAGAAGAACTGAAGCCATAGGAATAAACACAGAAGGAAAGGGGTAATTTGAACATGGGAAGGAAGATTTGCTTATGCTTTCATTACAAAGATTATCCTTTGATTGTTTAAAAGAAATCCAGTCTCCAGCATTATCAATATTTCAATTGCCCAGATATCAAAAAATTTAAAATTTCTTCTTCCATAAAACATGTTCATGTTTGCAACTTAAATCTTCTTGCTAACCCCGCATATGGACTTTGTGTCACTTGCAACCACTGGCACCTACAACAGAAATCCAAGCAAGCTTCACTCTGGGGTGATACTACAAATTTAATCACATATTTTAAGTGAGATGACAGAAAGACAAAAACCTACATTTAAAAAAAAAACTTTACATGTATAGTTTCTCTGGCATTCCCAGGATAACAAAGCTTGAAATCTTATGAAGAATTGTTCAAAGAATAGTGCTTTGGAATGCCCTGAATACATGGATCCTCTCAATAAACATGCATTACCTCTTCTGAAGCTTTAATTATAACTGGAAGCAGAAAAGCTGCAGTTTTCCCTGAGCCTGTGTCAGCAGTTGCCACAATATCCCTGCCCTGCAACCCAACTGGAATCATCTGCATCTGGACAGGGGTTGGGACTTCATAGCCTGCTTTTTTTAAATTGCCGCTGAGAATTTCTGGGAAGCCACAATGTCCAAACTCAACAATTGGTCTTGCAACTCCTTGCCCTTGAACAGTGATGCCCAGCTGCTGCTTTAAACTTTCAATCTGCTCATCCTGAAGGCTTAACAGAAATTCATTCTCTTCATACGCATAAGCAGCATCAAGGAAGATAGGCTGAGAGTTGGCTTTTTCATTCTTAGTAGGTTTTGAGCTTTCCTCTTCCCCTTTGACTTGTAAAAGGTGCTTGGCTTTACATTCCAAACTACAGACATCTTCATCAGTCTTGTCACAAATGTACTCCCCATACCGACCACAGACCACACATACAGGTTCCCCAGATTGTGGCCAGCGCTGAGTTTTACTGAAAGATTTTATGGGTTCTTCTGTAGCACAACAGCCCTCATTGTTTCCTAACTCTGATTCAGTAAGAGCCAGAGCTGAATCTAAAAATATCTGTGGCACAGTGTGTCCTTCTATTGATTTCAATGAATCAGCCTCAACAGTTGCTACATCTTTTATGTCAGATTTGGAATCTCTGAGTTCTGTAGCCTTTTCAGATGCAGATTCATTGTGGGAGGATTTGTTTTTCTTAGATACACAGCACTCGTCATCAACAGCATTCCTCTTGATTTTAAGAGATCTGGGAACAAACATTCTTCAACAACCTATCATGAAAATATACAATAATTAGAATTGGCAATCTTCTGACAAATTAATATTTCCAAATTATTCAGCAAGGACAGCAGGAAGCTCAAGGAACAGATTATTCTCCATTTACTCAGGAGCAAGTTTATTTGAATTGGAATATTGTAAGTTGTGGTTAAAGTCTATTAATTTTATCATGTGTAAGAGTTATTTAAACCTGGAATTCATGGACCATTTTACAGCATTTAAGTAACACAGTTAGAAAAATAGTGTAGAAGTGACCTACTTAGTCTTGCCAGTCAAACCTGGTACCAGATCTCAGAGGTTTTTTTACCAAGTCCATCCACACCTTTATATTTTTCTGGACAATGGAAGCAATGAGCATAGGTTTGGACAGGTTCTCTTTTTGGTTTGCTATGGAGCTACGAAGGGCTGCAAAGGCTCTAGCTTCAATAGTGAGAAATGAAATATAACTCCGGGAGTTTTACTGTGATGGCTATTTAGAACCTTTAACTAGCAGAGGCTGAGATTATAGGAAAGGTTCCCTTAGAACATTGTGACATTAAATGCAAGGCGTCCTCTATTGCTTTTTGGACACTGTTCATAGTTCTGTATTAATTTAAATGACTGAGGCAAACATTTGTTTCTAATAAAATAATCCCTATACTCTGTCCCAGTGTTTAAAATTTTTTAAAAAGTTTCTTAAAGCAAAACAGTATTGTACCCAAACCGGCAAGATATTGTCCTTCAAATACAAAGCACCCTTTGCTTAGAATCAACACAGTTGTAATCCAGGTCACTTTGAAGATATAGTAATATTATTTATATCAGTGGTTAGTAAAACTGAGGCCCCACTCTTTATCCACTTTTTTTGTAGCTACAAGCCCCACTCTGGAACTTCCTTCACTCCCCATATTAAATGCAGTTCTAACCATCAAAAAGTTGTCCTGAATTATACCTTGTCTTAACTTGAGTTTATCCCCACTGAGCTTCTGACATAGGATATACAAGTTGAGTGACTAAATCAGTACATCCTCATGTTGGCCCAAATGTTCTCTTCTGCTTCACTGGCTGTCTTTTTCTATGAAATTAAAAAAGAAAATCCCAAATGTTCACACCAGGCTGACCTTTTCCAGCCTTTCTTTATTCTGTGTCCTCTTAAACTGACACAGAATAAATGGACAATGAAATTTGTTAAAACTAGAGTTCTGTCCTTTGAAAATTGCTGATCCCACATTTTCAGATGGATAGAAAATGGAAAAAGTTATCTGCACCTTTGACTTTCTCCTTTACTCATATTACTTAATAACAGTTGTGTTTATATAGATTATGTGTATCAGTTAATATTTCTCTTTTAATTCCTATAAAAATGTTTCCATGAAAAAAGAGGAAATAACTAGCATCAAAATAATAAAGAATTGCCAAAAAAGTCTATTAAATAAAACCCACTACTTCATCAATTATCCAATTTTATGCCTGTCACAGTTATAATAGGATTTAAGTTTTGATTTACAGTATTTATAAGATAACACTGCTAAGGCAAAATCAAAAGGCTGTCTTAATGTACTTTAGAGGTATGCAATATATGCTTTTGTGAATTAAAGCAGGGTGGGCAGATTTAGGCATTGTTATTCTTGTTTTTAATCAAAGCCAAGGTCCACTTATCAGAGCCAGGTTCCCAACAATGGACCAATGGGGTTAAACTTAAATGTAAAATGAAATTAAATCTGTTGAAAAGAAATGCCTGAAATTTCTTTCTGAAACTCTTCTATGGGAAAATGTAAGTATATATGTGTGAGTTTAAAAATAATAAAAATCAACGGAACCCCGTGAACCATACTTTGTACCCATAAATCTACATCGCAGTTAGTGTATTAATCAAGAATGTAATGTGTAATTCTCGAAGACTATAAGAGAGCTGCACACAGATCAGGTCAAGACAGCTAAGTCTGCAAAAAGGGAAAAGAGTAATGCTAAAATATAAGCAACTAGGGTAAGGCCACTCGGGATTTAGTTTTAATTTCAAAATAACTTCCAGCTCTAACCGGTCAAAAATCGTTGCCAACTTACCTCAAATCACCCCATAGGTCTGTCATCAATACATCCCAAACGATTCTTCCATCGTACTCCGCTACTCTCTCTAACACATCCACGCAGAGATACACATAGCGACCGAAACGGCTTACGTGGTGGTCCAATGCAAAAGACAGCATGTGAGCAAAGGGAGCATCTGCAACAGCACCAACCGACGGGCCCGGTTTCCCGTGGAAAAGCGATTCCGGCTTCCTTAATCGTCTACCGTAAAACCCGTCCTTCAGCATACAGGATACCGAGACGTCCTCCTATCTAACGCATCACAACACTTGCTGCCGTTCTAGCCGTCGTCACAGCGTCTCGGATTCTCCTGCGGGCGGAAGCGGGGCTGTTCTTTCACAGCCTTCACTTCCGGTTCCTGTTGGAAAGGCTGGGTACGTCGGGAGCAACTGCAGGGTGTTGCAGACACATCCGAATAAAATGCGAACACGTACTTTTAAGTAGGCATGTTTTCTTTATAACCATATGATGCAAACAAAGGCACGGTTTGTTTTCTGGATAAGCTTGCCAATTCCCGGCTTTTCCGAAGCAGTTCAAAGTTGCCTGTGCTGCATGAACGGCAAGACCGCTAGAGGGCAACAGAAGGTCAGAGTTCACCGTCTTTGCTGCCCTCTAGTGATCGTGTGAAGCTTTGCAACCCAGGCATGATGTTCCTAACAAAGGGAAAAGGGAACGGAAGCGGCTGCTGACTGCGATCGCTCCTTCCACAAGCATTTCATCTTATTCCTCATCTCACACATCATTCCTCACCACTATGTGACATTTAGTTTTCTGTAGTCCACTAGGGGCGCTCAGACCTCGGTGGCTCCTTTGCTCCTCTAAATACATCTCTCCTGCAAATCTTGGGGTTTTCCAGAGCTTTCTAGTAGCTCCTTGGTTTTTGAGAATTGTGCCACTTGGACGACATAAGTATTTAGATTCAGGCACGAAAAAAGAGACTCCTGACACTCTAAAGACTATTCAGTTTATTATTGTGTAAGATTGGACTGTGGTCTGTTGACCTGTATGATGGTGATGTGTCCTACCTCAGCATAGAAACCGTCTTGCCCTTTTGTTTTGCTGAACGTGTATATTCTAAGTGGTGGTTGCTATATGTATGAAGTATTTTAGTTACCCTTAATGATCAAGAACTTAGTTCCTGGTGATTGCATGATCATGTTTATATAGTTTTCATGGGTTCCCATTGCCACCTTCTAGGCTATTCCTTCAAATTCCCAGTCTAATCTATAACTCTGGGATTTCCTAATAGAAAATTTATGAACCAATACTTAGCAGATGTGATTGTGTTTGGCTGCTTCTTGTTTTAGTCCAGCCATGGTCAACTAGGTGCTGCCACCAATTGTAGACTAATATTCCCTACTTAATTCTATTTTCAACTGAACAGGCAACCTATTTAGCAGGTGCTAAGGTTTCTATTGCCTAAATGGAAAAAGCCTGTGACAGTAGAATTTCTCCCTCCTACACCTTTTTTTTAAGCAATTATATCTCAAATCCTTCAGTCCTCCTCTAAAGATTCAGTGTTAATAGCTGAGCATTCCTTGACTTCCCACTTCTCAGATGCCTCCAAGCCTTTAAAGAGTAGTTGCAGAATCTCTGACAGTATCCAGACTCCTTTTCATTCTTAGCAAATCATAAATATATGTATGATGCCTGTATTCAAACATCCCAGAAACCATGTTGTTGTAGTGCCCAGGTTTAGGGTTTTGGGGTAACTTCCATGCCTTCCACCAAAAATTAATAGTTGGAGGCACTCTTGGAGCCCCTATCCCATTCAGTCCTTGAATGTCTCCTAGCCCCTTTGTGCTGCAATCTTCATTCATTCAAGAGCAGTCCAGATATAGCTATACATATATGATTATTTGTCCGCCTATCTATTCTAATGTGTAGCAATTATAGTGGGGGAGGAATTAGATACAGTGAAATGGCAGTAGCATCCTGTGAAGTAGCAGAATTATACTAATATACAACTTTCTAGATACATAGAATTCTTCAACTTAGAGCCAGTTTCTGTACAGATCAAATGCTTAAGTATAATTCTTGCTGGTATGGAAAGCTAGCTATCACCTTACATGGTGTATGCATGTGGGGAAGTAGGCTTCCTGTTGCCTAGGAAACCCACACTTCTTGTAATGAGGCAGTTAAGGGTGCTATTGCACTCTGTATTTTTTATCCATGTTATCTACCTTGAGTTGTTGAACAGCAGCAGTTCTAAACAGACTGTAAACCTCCCTCCAGCCTCCAGTTTCTTATCTTTGAGAAGCATATGGTTCTCTCTAACTTAATATGAAGGCAGCCAATAGGCGAAGTTTCCTACATGCTAGAAAAGAACAATTAAAGCACTAACTATAGATATATCAACATTCTAGATTTAAATATTTTGCATATGTTACATAATGGCTATATGTTAGGTATCACATTAATGCTTATTTGATTTTCTCTAACTACAACTGTTCATTCAGTCTTTGGAAAATGGTCTTTTTTCAATGTTATGCTTTTGAATGAAATTACCTAGTATTGGAATTTACACAGACATTGCCTAATCCATGATTAGATTATCCCTGGTATTGAATAAATCAAAGTTGGTTGGATTCACAAAGTTGGCTGGATTCACACAGCCTGCTACAGTATATATCTTTTGCTATTCATTTAACTTCTCGTGCAGTGATGGAATCTTTATGTCCATAGATCTAGATATATGATATAATCTTAAATAACTTTACTCAGAAATAATTCCCATTGAGTTCAGTGTGATTTACTGACTTGCATGTCAATAGTTGCAGTCTTAATTTCCAATACTGTTCTGTACATACCAGCTAATTCCACATCTCCCTTTAATTTGTAAAATATAATTAAATTACACATACCTGTGCCCGCAGTAAACACACATGTATATATCAGAATGTTGGGAGGGGAAACCTGAATAAATAGAATACAGGTAGTCCTTGACTTATAACCATTCATTTAACGATTGTTTGAAGTCACGATGGCGCTGAAAAAAGTGACAACCAGTCCTCGCACTTACAACCACCATATATTTACAATGGTTGCAGTGTCCTGAGGTCACCTGATCGCCATTTACAACTTTCCCAGGGGGCTCTCAACAAGCAAAGTCAATGGGGGAAGCTGGATTCACTTAACAACCGTGTGATTCACTCAACCACGGTGATTCGCTTAATGATTGCAGCAAAAAAGATAAAATTGGGCAAGACTCACTTAATGACCTCATTGCTTAGCGACAGAAGTTCTGGTCCCAATTGTGATCGTAAATTGAGGACTACCTGTATGTTATAAATAGTACTACCAAGGTAAAACTCAATGCCTTAATTCATTTCAGGGTTCAAATAGTCCACCCCCCCCATACATCTGTTTAATTGGCACAGGGGTTTTTTTTTTTCATAATAGCATCCGTTCGGCAATGAATACTGAATTCTTTCCTGAGGTGAGATAAATTTTATCTAACATGCCTACCTAGATGGCAGAGATTACAATATCATTTCAGTGTCAATTGCAATTATAAATATCAATTAAATCTCAGAATTTTTGTTTCTAGTCCTAGAATATAGAAATTTGCAAAATTAGCATATGCTAATATGTATTTTCATTATGCCTTTCCATTTGCATATAGGATAATGGAAGTTCTTATACAGCTGCAAGGGCCTCTTTCCATTCTTACCAAAAATATCCTTAAAGTTAATAGCATTGCCTTCAACCCTCAAAGTGGTGCCTTTTTAAGGGTGCTACAATCTCTTCACTTGCTTAATTAAATGTGCTAATTTATTTTAGTCAGAGAGGGTAGAACAGATATTACAACTCAGCTTCTATAACATTTGTCACTTTCAGTGCCAACCATTGTCTGCAAAATATAGCATTTCTTTACTGCTCCTGAACAAACAGCATAGTTTGAGGGTGGAAATAAGTTGAAATCTGGCATTGTTTTTAACATTTACGGAACAAGTCGGTAATCTTAAATGCCATGACCTAAAGCAGGGGTGCAAAATTTTCACCTGCTTGTCAGAGCCTGCACTGCAGCGGATGGGGCCACATAAAATGGGGGATGCATTAAATTTATATTTCATTAATTGAATTAAACTTTAATATTAATGATTTAATTAAAAGAGGAGAAAGAGCTGTTAAGACTTTACAGTATATATTGAGAATGGGAGCTGAAAGGATTGGGAAGATTTCAGAATGAGGATTAGCTCAGCAAATCAGTGCAGAGATGGGTAACCTTTTGCAGGGGTCTTGGGAGCTGTGCATAGCTGCCTCAGTGGTCTATATTTCTATGTGTTTTATTTTGGGGGGTAAGGGAAAAATGGATGTCTTAAGCCCTTGTAAACTTCTAGGTGCCAATTTTATTCCTTAAAACTGTCAGTATTCCCCAAATGGGAAAAAATACTAAAATGTTGAACCTGTCTCCTTTTTGGAGCGCTGGGAGTCCAAAATAGGGTTCTGGGAGCCTCATGCAGCTTGAAGGTTGCCCCCATTGATCTATATGCTTCCTTAGCTATGGCTTGAAACAAGAGAACTATATGAGTCTGTTAAGGAACAAGAACTCTCTTGCCACTAAGTCATGACAGGAAATATTTATATAAAGAGTTCAAGATGCTGTATAAGGGGCAAGGCATTTAAAAAAGGACTTGACCTGTGACTCCAGCTCCTCCCCTGCTTTTCTAGCTAAGAAAAATTACAAGGATTAAAGCCCATTTTGTAATAGAGCCTTTTGATTAAGAATTCTTTTCTCCTAATCCTGAATGTAAATATACTCAACAGCATGCTCCAAACCTTTCTGTTCTACTTTGCAAGTGCTAGATTGCAGCCCTGAGGCAGCCCTGTTCAGGGCTTAGGATCCCTCATGCTCTTCTCTTCCCCTTTCCTTTCTAAGCGTTGCTTCTTTTTCTCTCTTCCTGGTTGGTGCTCAATGTTTGTCTGAATCAGGCCAAATACAAACACTAGTTTTACTTCCCAAAACTAGAATGGAAATTTTTAAATGTTTTAATGTTTTTTAAATGTGGGTTGGGAAGTAAAATAGGACTTTTGCAAATGTTACTTAGCCCAGTTCAAACATTAGGATAAACATTGCTAATTTTGAAAAAGGAAGCATACAAGGGGGAAGAACATAGAAACAATCCCAAAACACTCTCTGCATGATCAGATTTTGGTTGAGTTGACTGAATCCTAATGTCGGCCTGAGCTCCAGTAAAGTATATTCTTTGAATGCATGAATTTCCTGATTTGATCTCTAGCTGGAACTGGAAGAAAAAGATACCCCAACCCTGGAGAGCC